TTATTATTATTATTATTATTATTATTATTATTATTATTATTATTATTATTATTATTATTATTTACACCTTAGAAATCTAAATAAATGTGATATTTTGAGAGTGAAGAAAAGCCTTATAAAAAACTTTATCACAAATATTACTGTTTTAACTTTGTCATTTTAATGAATGAATAATTTTATAGAACAACAAGCTATAACAAATCATTTTACCTATTTCAGCAATCAGGTACATGGAAACGCAATAATCACACATCTAGTTTTGGGGAAATGAATGGTAGTTACTCACCCAATGCTAATAACAGTCTGACATTGGAAATGCTGAATGGCAGTATGGAGTCTTCTCTTGCACACAGTCCTGCTCATCCCAGCCCTGAAGCAAGAAGCAGGCTTCTGCGACCACGCACTCTTGTGGAAAGAGCTCGCATGAATGTTGCGTATGTCTCTTTGTTATTTACATGTACACTTCATATTGCTAAGAAAAATTTTAGAAAATTGTGTTTCATTATGAGGATTCAAGATTAATGTATGTACGTATTTATGGGATAATAAAAACGCAAAGGATTTTCAGGAAAGAACAAATTTTAAATAAGATATTTGTTATTTTTAAGAAAATAATTTTGCTCTATAATTTATTATTAACTGATTCTCAATATTGAAGAAACATTTAAAACAAAAAATATTTTATTTTTTAAAAAGTGTTTTTTCTCATGATTTGATACTAAACCTGGGTCAAGGAAAAAAGAAACCTGTAAACTAAGAATTAAATCGTATTTATTTTATTCTCTCTATTGTTTAACCATTCAGGTTTACTATTTTACATGCATTAATATTTTCTGATCTCTTATATGCAAGTTTCATATAACATTACTCCAAATTTAATTCTTGAAATATATTTATTTATTTTTGTAAATACTGGTCATTGCCATTGTAAATTCAGTAACTGGAGGATTATTATGTAAAAGTAACGCAATACTAACGTAACCACATTAAATTTTCGAAAGAAGTGTGATCAAAACTTACAAGTTGTTTTGTTTCCAGATGGTTGGATTCTTCCCTATCGATTATGGAACAAGGTGTTCGAGAATTTGATACTTTGTGCTTACGTTTCAAGTTTTATTCATTCTATGATTTGAATCCTAAGTATGATTCAGTGAGGATAAATCAGATTTATGAACAAGCCAAATGGCAATTGTTGAATGAGGAATTGGACTGTACTGAAGAAGAAATGTTGATGTTTGCAGCCTTACAAGTAGGTCATTCAAATTTTAAAAAGCATGAAAGAGTATATTGGATTTCTATGCCTTCTTTGATTTAATATCTTCTTTCAAAGGTCATTTAAACTTACTTTAACACTCTCTGAACTCTTGTTAATGAAACTTAGACTTGTGAAAATCATAATCTTTAAGACAACTTTAGCCTATTGAATGATTAACATTATGACAGTTTTCAACCTTGTTTGAGAAACTGACACAAAATTTCATATGTGTGCTACTGGATAAGAAATACCCACCAGATATACATCTAACAGATATTAAGAATAGAAACGGAAGTAGAATGCAGATTATGAAGTGAAACAGTAGGTGAAATACAGCCTGCAACACATGTTATCAATATAATCAATCAAATATAACTCAAGAAACAGTGAATTCTAGTCCCTTAAAACCTCTTCTAAAGGAATAACAAGTTATATTTCACATGCTATCATCTTCAAAACAATATCTTGTTGGACAATCTATTATATTTTTGGGAGCACAATTAAATAGACTATTTTATATGAGGTGGAATTTAATCATGTGGGTCTAAGTCATTGTGTTTGTTAAAATACTCTAAACTAGCAATATTAGAATGTTTACCCTTGCACTGTACTGGGCCTATTATGCTATAACACTTAGATCAGGCTCTTGCCATTCAAGGTTATATTCCAGTATGAAGCAGTTTTCTCTTCTTTTTAAAAAACAAACAAACAAACTATGTGTGCTTTATAGGGAGAGGTATAATTTGAAATCATATCTGGAACTCATTGAAATTGTTTGTATTTTAGGTTCAAGTTACATTGCAGTCTGGTGTTCCACAACCTGTTTTGGACAATAGTTCAACAGTGGTTGAAGATGATATTGATGCTGCTCTCACAGATCTTCAAGTGACTTTAGAAGGCTCACATATTAACAGTGGACACAATGATATCACACAAGTACCAGAATTGTTTGATTACCTGAGATTTTCAAAGTAAGTTTGTTACAAATTTAAAACTAAATCATACAGTGTGTATGGATATAAGCGAAAAGGGGGGGGTTCTGGGGCACAGGATGTCATCTTATGTCTTCCTTTTGAAGGTGGTGTGGGTATTCCTGTTTTTTTCATCACTTGGTGTGAAAGTTTCATAATAAAAATGGATTTTCCAAATCATGTAATTTTTTCCCCTTACTCTGGGTATTTTTGTAAGAAATTTTTTGCAACAGAATTTCGAGATACCATATCATTTTTTATTTTTAAAATAATAAAAGTAAATAATTTTTAATTATTATTAAGCATCCATATTTTCTTACAGGCCTAAAAAGCTCACTCTGAAAGCAACAAAACGTTATTGGTTTACATGTCGTGATCTGCATCTCACTCTCTACAAGTCAAGAGAAGAAGCAGCTCAAGGTGCTGAACCTATTCATCACATCAACTTGAGGGGATGTGAAGTTACTCCTGAAGTCAACATTGCTCAAGGCAAATATGGCATTAAATTAGAAGTGCCCAGTGCAGATGGCATGACAGAAATGAGCATTAGATGTGATTCAGTAAGTATTCCTGAAATTGAAAAATATTGTAAATTAATCATTTCTCTGTAATAACAGAAATAATGAAAGGGAGTCAGTGCAATAGTGGTCTGAGCCACAATTTAAGGAAACAGAGAAAAGTCAAGTTAAATTTTCGTAGTCTAGTAAGAAAGCATTGAGAAGAGAAAGAATAGCATCTCCATTCTTAACTTTTTAGAGGAAAACTGGTTAAACCAACAATGTACAAAGATAGTTCACCTTCTTAGGCAGGAGCGGAACCAGCCAATCATTGGGGGGGATCTTAGATATTTGTTAAATAATAAACATATTTGTTATTATATTTTATATTATTTACGTACAGTTAATATGATACTATACAATATTATGTTTAAATAATTAAATAATTCAAACATAAATATTTAAATGAATTTCGCCAAATAAACGAAGATAAATGAAAACTCAACGCCCTTCGAGGGGAGGGGGGCATGGCCACCATGGCACCTCCCTGGATCTACCAGTCAGTAGTCAAAGTCTTAGGTAACAAATAATGTCAATAACTCATTTTTCAATTTTTTGGTGTATGACCACTAATACACTCAACTCTTCAATTTAGTTTTCGTTTGACCCAGGATGTGTCAAATATCAAAAATTTCACATTTTTAAGCAATATGAAATCAGATATTTATTATTTTTACTAGAGTTGAGTTTTATATGTAAGTATACTTTTTTTTATGCTTGTTCTTATTTTGAAAATAATAAAATGTCCTTGCCATTCATCCTGTTTAAAGCAATCTTGCCTCTGCACTCTCTATTTATATTTAAATGTATTTGCAAATCAGGGAAATACAACTGAATTTTGAGAGTAATGCTGTTAATAACATCCATAAGCTTGAATATTAATATCCAAATTCGGGCATTTAAAGGCATTCCTTTGCAGGAAATATATCAATACAAATGTTTTTAGTGTATTCATTCAAAATCATTCGCATTTACTTTTTGTTGTTATTTATCTATTAAATTTTTTAGAATAATGATGTTAGTAATAATAACAATAACAATAATAATAATATTGATGATGGTGATGATGATGATGAAGATAATGAAGATAATTTGAGTAGTTATATATAAAATAAGATGATGAGATACGAATCTCCTACACTTCTTTTATCCACTTTCTAATAATTTCAATTAGTACTACAGTTTGTCTTTAAATATATTACATTTAACTCTTGATTCTGAGAAAGGTGATGGACTGATATTGACTAAATAATAACCATGAATTATTAAAATACATGTGTTCTAATTAAAGTTTCACCTCATGAAAGTGGATAAACAATAATTATCATTCCAGAACTTTATTAGATCAAAATCTGTTTTTACTAACAGTTCTAAAATTACCTTACGATTGTTTCTTCTAGGAAGAGCAGTATGCTAAATGGATGGCTGCTTGCCGTTTGGCAGCCAAAGGTCGATCTCTGGCTGACAGTTCATATGAGTCAGAGGTGAAATCTATTGAAGCATTTCTTCAAATGCAGCATCCTGCACCAGCTCCTGCCATTAACCCAGCATCTCTTGACATAAATCCTGATGATTATGTTGCTCCCAGATTTGCTCGAAAAATGAAAGGAAAGGTAAATGAAAAAAATTTACAAAATTTAAAAATATTCTAGGTAATAGTAATCCATTACTCTTGTTAGACCTTTTCTGATCTACATTTGGGGGCAAGTTAGGAACCATTTGATGCATCTCAGTCTTGTGATAGGGATGTGATCATTTCTTTCTGCTTCCTTTCAGAATCTTCTTAGTGAATTTTCAAGAGAACATGTTTGGAGGTGGGAGGGAGGGGGAGTGCTTATTAAATTTTTGGAAGATTTAAAGCACTTACTGAGGTGGGGAATAGCTCAATTCCTCCCACTAAAATGTATTGATTGTCACTATTTTTACCCTTCTATTCTGTAAGAATTCTAGTAAAAAAAGCATGTAGACCCCTACAGTGAAGTGATGCTGTGAATTACTATATTGCTTTCCTTGCATAACACAAATCTTTACAACATGTGTCATTGATTGTTGACAAGTAGTCCTAATTATTAATGAAACACACAAAGTCTTTGAAGAGAATATTTATTGATTCTTTTTAAAATTACTTTCTATGTTCAAGGATAGAAAAGCCAGACAATTGTAGTGTGTTGAAAATTTGTTTTTATTTTGAATTTGTATGGATCAAATAAACATATTTAAGAAGATACTCACAATAGGCACCAAGGAAAGTTCACAAATAGCTTTTTCAGATAATAATTCTAATGTGTTAAATTGTTTTCTTTTACAGTTGGTGCAGAGAATACTTGAAGCTCACGCTAATGTTAAAGATCTTCCATTAGTTGATGCAAAAATGAGTTACATCAAAGCATGGCAGTCTCTTCCTGACTATGGAATTTCTCTCTTCATTGTTAAATTTATGGGCCACAAGAAGGAAGAATTACTTGGTGTTGCATTCAACAGATTGATGCGAATGGACATAAGTTCAGGAGATCACATTAAAACTTGGCGCTATAATACCATGAAGGTACATTTATTTCCATCATTTGTGATGAAATAAAGCAGAACTCTCTTAATGTGATATATCTTGAGTGAAACAAATGGACTTATTAATCCTCACACTCCTGTATCATTTTAAATAATTTTTCACTCTGCAAAAATGTTCAAAAACTTTTTTTCCCACTAAATATGTGACATATTTATATTTCATAGATCAAGATTTTTGTTCAGTTTCGTTTAATCCAATGAGTAAAAGCCAAGATGTCCCTTACTTTACTTGTGAATACTAAATGTAGCTTTTCTCCCTCCCAAACTTCATGTAAAGATTTTACTGCTTTTGAAAAATAAAGTAAAATGTAATCTGCAAAAATTATGTATGTGAAGTGCTCAAAATTAAATTGAAGTCCCTTTTTTATCTCAGTTACAATTTAATAAACATTAGGAAAATTATTATTGATTATTTTTATAAATGTAATTATATAATTATATCTGTTTTCAACAGGCCTGGAATGTTAATTGGGAAGTAAAACATATGATGGTTCAATTCGAAGATGGGAATATCATCTTCAGTTGCTTATCTGCCGATTGTAAAGTTATTCATGAATTCATTGGAGGATACATATTCTTATCCATGAGGTCAAAAGAAGCAAACCAAACACTCAATGAAGAAATGTTCCATAAGCTCACTGGAGGATGGGTATAATGTTTCAAGATCATCCCAGTTGATTTTTGTGTACATTATCCTGTTTTTGTGGATGATTGCAATAGCTGCACTGGAAGTAAAGCTGCCTGAATTTCCATGAAAATTTGTTTTGTTTTTCTGTTTAATTGACATTGCAACAAGATGTACAATAAACACTTGGTGGGAGAAAATGAGAATATCCAGTTGTTGATTATGGCAAATTAACCTGCTATGTTTTATGTACAGTATAACTTTAAGTTAAATATTATCTTTATTCTCCAAAATTTTAATTTTTATACTATCGAATGAAATTATTGACTTTAATTTAAAGATTATGGGCCTTATATTTGTAATTCTAATGTTTAAAATATTGGTGAGCTATCAGATTTATGTGTAGGTCTTCAGCATTTTTCTCTTAGTTACCATTGGAAGAAATTTGTTTGCATGCAATACTGAATATTCACTTAATAAGTCTTGAGTTGTAGTAACTTCTTTTTTCCAAATATTATGCAATATATTTCCCCTTTAATTGTCATTTTTAGAACATATTACACAAATAGATATACAGACAAAAGTGTCACTTATCTCAGTAAAATTAGATCACGTGGTGCAATTTGTTATTAAAGATTGGCTGAGGTCACAAATATCAGTCTTACATTTAATTAGGTTTAATTAGAGCGCAATTATCTTTTCTTTTGAACATACTATTGAAAACATGTATAAAGTGTATGTGTATATAGAAAATAACATGAAGGAGGCCCACTAAAGTTGTGCAAAAAATTTAAAATTTGTTATTTATATTTTATTAGGAGTTAGAGTTGTGATGTTATATTATACTGACATTTTATAATATTGTTAATAAATTGTTTTAAATAGCTCTGACAAAATAATATTATATTAGAGTGTATATGAACTTCTATGTAAGAAAGAACTAGTAATTTTTAGCATAACAGCTGCATATTATCTCTGTAATTTGTGCTAAGAAAAGTATGTATTTTATTACTGTACACTATCTACTTGTGTTAACTGAATCTTCAAACTATTTTAGTATAAAAATAAATAGTCATGTATATTTTCCAATAGAATTTTTATTGAAATTACTAATTTACCCTTTCTAACATTACCTAGAAAAATTATCTTCCAAACTCAGTTGTTTGGAATGTAGCTTCCAAAAATTTGAAAATGCCAAAAAATCAAGCAAAATGCCAAATAAAAGCTGTATCAAAGACCATAAAAAAAGTTAAAACTGACAATTCAACCCAGGATATGATAAGTAATGCGTAGTTCTAATTCAGGAGCATCTTATCTAATGGCTCATTTGCATTTGCAACAAAAATGGCAAACATGAAAGTGTAATGCACTAGTGCCTTAGATACTTTGAAATGAAATGACCAATGAAAATTTTGAAGAACTGTGTCCACACAAATGTTTTGAAATTTGTTAATAAACTTTTTCACTTTTTGATTATTATTTTAAAATGAATAATAATAATAATAAAATATTACATACCTCTAAATGAAATTGTAAGTTTAATAATACAATTATTAAAAACAATTGACTTTAGTAAACCATTTACAGGGTTCCAGGTGGTTTGGAGATTTTCTTTATCAAATGTTTAAAAATTTCCCAAAGTGTCAAGTTAAAAAAGGCTATACTCACAGATTGAACAAAATAAAGGTGGGGGAAGAGTTTAACGGCGAGAAACT